ATGTGTTATGTTAGATGTGCTGTTTTTATCTGCTTTGTTTTAGGAACCTCTGAGTCTGCTCATGGGAAGATGAAAAGCGGCACGGCCAACCCTCCTCCTGTCCACTCAGGCCAGCAGAGCTGCTTTTGTGGAAACCTCATGGTACCCAGTGGAGGTCTGCCAGTGTCAGCCCCTGTGGCTGGCCTGCAGTGTGTCCAGATCCCTCTTCTGCAGGTAGGAACCACCCACGTGGATGTTAAGGTCTGCAGGGGCAGGATGGTGGAGGGGTGGCCACTGCCCTCTCAGTAAACTGTCCTAAGTCCTGTGTCCTGCCCCAGCCATCTTAATAACCCCAGCCTCTCTCTTCTTCCCAGCCTGTCTCACTGCATCTGTGCAAGCCCTTGCCTTTGTTAGGACTGACGTATCAGGTTTGTGGCACTCTGTTACCCTGTGTCTAGTCCCCTCAACCTGGTCCATCTTCCCCACATCCCTTGGAGGTGCAATGGCTTGTGCCTCTGTCCTGCCAAGGCCTACTTGGGACCACTGTGTGCAGGCTGGAGGCATCAGAGACTGCCCAAGCTGGCCGTGTATAAGCTTCACAGCTGCTGGTATTTATGCTGCCCCACCTCTCCCCGGACTCTCCTATAAGCTCTCCTTAGACTGTTCTGGCCATGCTTCTGGGCACCACTCCCGGCACACGAGCTGGTGCAGGCTTTCATGTGAAAACAGTGGGGTCTCTTTGATTCTCTGCTTTCTCGTTGGTCGCTGAAGATAAGGTTCAGCCACCTCTTTGGGGGCTCAGCAGACCTGTATTTGGCAGACAGCCATCTATGGGAGCTCACTGCCAAGTCACTCAGCAGCCCCATACATACCTGCAGTCCCAGGATGGCCTCTAAGGAGGTGGATGGGGAAGGGAAGGGGTTTGGAAGCTGAGAGATTCTGGCCCAGTCACACACACCTACATGTTGCACACCTGTACTTAGGGCTCCGGGTGAAACTTCAGCAGGCCAGTGCAAACCTAGCTGTCAGAGACTGAGGGTGGAGCTGTTCCTGTTACTTCAGAGAGCTTAGAGACAGGCAAGGTCCATCTGGGAGAGGACCGTGAAGGAAAGATGAGACCAGGGGTAGAAGACTGTGAGGGGCCTGCAGGGCTCAGATAAATGGGGGACAGTGGCAAAGACTGACCTGGAGAAATAGGCAATGAAAGGGTTCTAGACCAAAAAAGAAGCAGGTAAGGGTTTGGTGGGCAGACTCAGACTTATGTGTAGAAAGGAGCTGAAAATCATGCTCCTCCCTCCCAGTTTGACCCAATGGTGGAACAGCTTGGAACAGCTAGAGATGGGGACAGCAGAAGGAGTGGGAGGCTTGTCCTGGAGGAGCACAGCCAGAGCGTGCAGGTCAGCTTGCAGAAGGCACTCCAGGGCTAAGGGCATAGGGAGAAGAGACCGTAGGAAAGCTGCCACCACAGGTAGAAAAAGAGCCCACTGGGAAGAGCATGCACCAGGGTATACATCTTTACCTGGCCTTTGGCAGCTAATGTTGTCTTGGGCCTCAGTATTGTTGTCCTAAGATGGAAATGGTAGTACTTAGAAGGTCCTTGGGGCAGTGGGAGGATGGAGGGAGCTCATTTTGCGGGGTGGGTGGGTATGCAGCTGTAACTGAATGTGCACATGAGAAAGCAAAACCATTCTTTCCTAACTTGCTTCTGGGGACCTGGCAGCCTCCTCGTCTCAGGGAGCCCTCTGCTCTCAGGTCTGTTTGGCCCATGGGGAACAGGGAACAGAGAGAAGACCTCCCCATGAGCTTGAGAAAATACTAGGGCACCCATGCAGAATTTAGGACACCTCAGGAGGAGGGCTGCTTTGGGGACTGGGGACAGTTTTTGAGTGTTGAAATAACATAGGGAGTCTGGCAGCAGAAGATCCCAGACTAAACTGAACCTTGGGCTGGGTTAAAAGTGAGAGAGATGGAGAGGCCAGTGCTCCTGCTTCCTGATTACCAGTGTGTGATGGTTCTTGATGTTGCCTCCCCAGGATGACCCCTCAGGTGAAGGAGGCTTGCCACTAGCCCTCAGCCCACAGCGTTCTGCCTTCCACCCCTACTTCACCGTGGATCTGCCTGTCTACGTCCTCCAGGTCTGGGTGCCTACGGTTCTTCTTCTTCTCAGTAGAACTCATCCCAGGTTTCCCATGTCAGGAGACTGTGGCATGGGTTAGCAGCTGCCATGAGCCTGCCCTAGAAGCACATTGGGTTGGTGGTCAGGCCAGCCATCTTGGACTTTTGTGAAAAGATAGTCAGGACCACAGCTTTAGATAAGGCTTGGTTGACACTACAGTGTCTGCTTATAGACCTGGTGAAACCTAGTGTGCCTGTGACTCCATTTCTAAATTCTCCATAAATGAGCTGCACCCACAGGAGTTCAGTAGCTATGTAGTGAGTGGTTAAGCTGAGAGTAGGTAGCCACCAATGCAGCTCTAGGTCTGAATGGAAGTCACTTTTCAGGCTGCCAGCCTACCTCAGAAATGTCAGTTCTACTGTCCTAAGCCTCTCAGAAGACTATCCTAAAGAAAGGAAATCTGAGCCAGATAGCCATAGGTGGCACCCAGTGATCAGGAGACAAAGGCTGGAGAACTGCACATTTGAGGCCACTTGGGCCACACAGCAAGAACCTGTCTCTAACAGACACAGAAAGGGAGGAAGAAGATGTGGAGTGGTGGGGAAGAGAGCAAGAGGCAATGAGAGAGGGAAGGTGAGTTACAAACTGCTGGCGACCTCAGACCTGCCCACTGCACCTTAGAGTCTGCAATACCAAAGCAGGAGTGCTGGGTTCTAGCAGGAGAGTGATGGGTACCACCCATGGCCATCTCCCTCCCTAGGTGAGCTGCCTACTGCGTGTGGGATATAAGAAGAGACGGTCTCGGTTTTTTGGTTTTTGGTAATTTTTTTTACAGGAAAGTACATGGGTGCTTGAATATATGTGGACCCATCAGTGGGCCTAGAAAAAAAAAAAAAATCTGGGAAAATGTAATGGTTTTTAGTGTTGTGAGTGGTTGGTTGGTTGGTTGGTTGGTTGTTGTTTTTTGAGACAGGGTCTCACTAGGTCGCCCTGACTGGCTGGCCTGGAACTCACAGAGATCTACCTGTCTCTGCCTTCCTGAGATTAAAAGAATGTGCCACCGTACGAAGCACATTGTTCTTTGAAGGGACAGAAGGTGTGGAATAGGTCTCTGCTGTGTCTCCCCTTCTTTTTCCACCCCACCTCTCCTCAACTTTCTGCTTGGTTTTGCAGGAGGTGCTTCCAGCATCTGGGGGTTCTGCCGGGCTGGAGACTATGCAGGCACCAGGAAGTACCATCAACCTGCAGGACCTTCAGTGACAGCAGCCTGAGCAAACAAGGACCATGTTCCAGGCTACATTTCAAGACCTCAGATGACAATGGTGTGGGCAGGGAGACCTCACTTGACTTCTGCTCAGCAGTCCAGCCCGATTCTTTGAGACTTTGGGGTACATGTAGTGAAAGTGCTTTCCTTCTGTTCTACCAAGATCCAGCCTGGGCTATACTCTTTGAAACTGCCTCCACAGTGCGGTAGGTACCATGGCCATGCAATGCATGTGCGTTCCAGCCCTTCCCGGTCCCCTTGGGCCTGAGCTGGGTAGCACTTGTTGCATTAGAAGATCCCTGCAGGAAGTGGGTGGAGCATGGCTCCCTGCTCAGGTACATCTCTGTACTAAGTCTGGACAGGGCCTTCAATTGTAGTGTGTTAGCATTCGGCCTGAGACATCTAGAAGTTTGGTTCTTTTCTGAGAGCTTGTGCGACAGACTACTTTGCATCTACTGGGCTGGTGTTAGTGGGTGTGTTGGTTCACTACACTGTATGCCATGGTGAAGCCGAATTTGGGCTGAGCATTAGCAGTTTACACGGGCAGCTAGTCTGAAAGGTGATTGGGGTGGCCTGGCGCCCACCAGTGGCCTGCTAGTAGGCCCTCTTCCTAGACCGACAGTGTGGCTCATAGTTTGGGAATGACGAGTTCAGACTTTTAAAGTAATTTTTCTAAATTCTGTATTTGGGATTCTTGGTAAATAGTAACTTGTCTTCAGTCTCTAAAGTGGGGTTCTGACTGCTGTATGTTATGTATAGGGCTGGAACAGAGGTGTGTTTTATGGTTGAGATTGAAGATAAGCATATTATGTGGCCTTGGCCTTGTGTGTTTTCAGAGTGATTCTGTCTTCCCAGAAGAGACGGTTGCCTTGCACATATTTATTTGTTAATTAAGACTGGACACAGGGTCACTCAGAAATGCATTTTTCTTGGGCCTTTTGGAGTGTGTGCTTATTCGGCTACTGGTTTGGTTCTGCCCCGTCTGAGTTGCTTTGTTTCTTGGGTCCAGGGAGGGCCCTGAGTTTGGGCATGCGTCCTCTCTGGATGGCTCTGTGGGGCCATCTGTCTAGGTGCTGCTCCCCACAAGGGGATTATAAGTCCTGCTTGAGAAGATCTCCTGCTTTCCACAGGTCTCTCCTGCACCACAGGCCAAAGTTTAGGGGTTGGACATGCCCACCTGTCATCAGGGCCCACCCCACTCCATGGGTAGCCTGGTACCACTGTCAGCTGCCTCAAGAGCCCACCTCACAGAGAAGCTCCCTTCTCCCACAGCCTCCAGTGTGTCTGCCAAGTGATGGGCTGGACTGTCATGTTCTGAGCACTGGAGCTTCCTGCTGCCATGGGCCCAACTCTTAGTACAAATGAATAAAAGTGTTTGTATGTCATGTACCGAAAGTTTGGCTTCGGTTTCATTCAAGGTACTGTGCATGGTGCTGAGATTCTTGCCCCTTCTGCCCAGCGGGCCACACGTTCTTTTGTCTCCAAGGGCCAGCGATGCCCTGCCCTCCTCAGGGACAGGTTTTGGGCTTCTCTCCAAGCAGCTGTTTCTGATGGGAACCAGGATGGTGTTCTGTCCCTCAAACACATGCTTTGGGTGAAATGACAAAAGAGGGCTTCCCAGAGGCTTCCTTCAACAGGCCATTCAGACACCCAAGAGACGTGACTTTATTTCCTGTTTGTAAGGAGGCTGACAGGAGAGCATAAGATGGAGTTGGGGACCCATCAGGCTCACAGCTCCTGCCTTCACTAACTACTGACCTCTTCCTGAGCCCTCAGCCAGCTCTGCTGCTAAGTGAAGAAGAAGAGCATCTCCTCCTTGTCCTTGTCCATCGCCACGTGCTCAGATACCTCCTTTATTTTGATGACTGGTGGACGGGAGCGGCTTACCAATCTCCTGCCTCTCTGCAGGGGCAATAAATATGGTGAGCCTGTGCTGGCTGTGGAGATGCCATGCTGCCCATGTCCCCTGCTAAGGTTCAGGAAGTGGCCAGCAAAGCCTGGTCATACAGACCAGCCACTCAGGGGTGGTACTGACTAAAGGGACCTGGAGTGCGGATCAGCCTAGCAGTCGCCATGCCAGCTCCATGGAGCACACTTTTTTGAAGGGCAAGAGCTAAAGTTATTTCCTAGCTCAGGGCTTCCACAGGAGAACCTGCAGTGCGACAGAAAACCTTAGAGGTCGGCTCTAAAAGTCCGTGATCACTCTTAAGGCCCAGCCCCACAACCTTCAGCTCTCTTAAGCTGTCTGTTCTGTGTCCAACAACAGCCCTTGACTGATGCTCCTAACCAAGCCTAGCTCCTCCATGCTGTTTGTCACATATACTATGTTGAACTAAATCATGTGGTATGACACTTTCTGCCAGCCCCCCAAAACTTAGCTATTTCCTTTGTTCTTGGATTTGCTTGGGGAAGTTCTCGGAAGGCTGCTCTCTAAAGAGGCTCCTCTGCCCTGCCAGCCCTCTGGTGGTAGCATGTGTTTGCTCCTTCTCCCCCTCTGCCCCCAACCCCTTCTTACTGAAGCTCCTCTCCAGGAAAGAAAAGCCTCCCCTCCCCACTAAGGCCCTGTTAGGGTTAGACCTCCGTATATTGTCCTGTTTCTGTCCAAGGCTCTCCTTGCCATCTGAGTCCTGATCGTGGCCTGGAAGCCCTTTCTCCTAATGAGCTGCATCTCCTGAAGGGAATTATGTGTCCGCTTTCTTTCTGGACTAAGCACAGGGATGTTTAGTAGCATCTTACTATTAACAGTGTTCATCTTTCCCAAGCAGTGAAATGGGCAGCCATGTTTTATGGATGCCCACCAGCTCCTTTGTCTCTCAGGGGCCATACTTGACTCCAGACCTGCTTTCAGGGCCAGACTTTCTGCTTTCACATTCAAAAGACACAAGGCTGCCACAGTGCATTTTCTGTGGGGCGAGAGCTTGAGACCCAGAAGACACAGGCCTCTCAGCCGGCAGCCACTTGACCTACGGTCTGTCTGGGGGGTGGACAGAGCAACAGGCCCCTGAAACTGGGTGTTGGTGTGATGAGTTCTGTGGCTGAGCATCTGCACCTGGCAGAGGTTATGACGAGTACATCTGGGAGATTGGTCCTGGTGAGGTCAGCTCTAGGGCGGGGGCACCGGAAGTGCCTGGCTTTGGAGACTGCTCCACTCCAGCTCGGCACTGCAAACTGTTTCTTCAGCAGTGATTTGCCTTCAGGGAAGCCTCGGAGCTCGGGCTGGAGAGCCCAGGAGCTGTACCCTCCAGCGGCCCTGGCCCCACCCCTCACCTTCTTTTTGATTTCCGCTTGGGCCCTGGCTCGAGCCCGCTGCAGACGCTCCTCCTGCAGCTCCTTCTGCAGCCTGGCCTTCTCCTCACGCATCCTGAAAACAAGAGGTGCCTTACAGGGACCAGGGCCTGGGGGTGGGGGGGTCTCTCCTTTTCCCACTCAGGCTCCAGGTCAGTCCATGCCCTCCCACGTCTAGAAAATGCCACCTCTGCCCTTCCTGTCAGTCCTGGGCAAATCAGCCAAGGCTTGCAAGGGAAGGCAGATAGGGCTAGGTAGATGCCATGCTGGCCTTGAGGGTGACCTAAGGTTCGGAGCACACCCCTCAAAAAGCAGGTTTCCCTGGATCCACATCTAGGTCTTCAGTCCCTGTGCCCACAGTCCAACACCCTGGCACCTAGCTAGGACATTAGTCTTAGTGCAGGTGCTGGGGCCCCAGAGGAGATGGCCCCATGCTTGGGAGAGACAGACAGACTTGGCAGATAGTTGTGTCCCATGACCCTGCCCTCTGGGACCCACAGAGGCCTGGCTTCACAACACAGAGTCCTGAGCCTGTCTCTCTGGCCAGGAGACTCAAGAGGGTGGACTCTGACGAGAGCGCCCTGCACCCAAGCCAGGGCTGCAGTCACAGAAGGTTGGGCACGGTGGCTTACCTCATGCGCCGCTCCCTCTCCTTGGCCTTCTCAGCCTGCTCGATCTTGACCTGGGGTATTCGCTCCAGATTCTCGAGCAGCTCATCTAGCTGGTGCTCCACCACGGTCAGCATCTGCACGGTGCCCAGGTTGGCCTCCTGGTGCGTGCCCACACATTTCCGGTACACGTCCATCACCTTGAGGTTGAGGCTCTCCAGCAGCTTGTCCTGGGGACAGTCGGCCAGCGGTGTGGCATGGCTGCAAGCCCTTGCTCACCCTCACATTGACAGCCTGCCTACACCAGCAGTCATGGCTTGTCAGCCAGGATGGAACAGCCGCATTGTGGGCTCACAGAGAAGGGTGGAACGATGGTACCTGATTCCCTTAGCCAGAATAGCCCTGGTGTTCCTATGGTCACATCTGACATCTCACACCCCAGCCCTTCCCCCAGCTTCCTTAGCAAGCCCATTGAGGCCCTTGCTACAGGCCACAGGAATGTAAGAACTCAGCTGGTTATAGCAAAGCCACTACCTGAAGGGATCAAGGAATTCCTTCAGAGGAAACCAAATCCCAGGGAGCTTTTGGTGATATTTGGCTTGTTATAATCAGCTGTCTTCTGTTATGAAAATCATGTGTGCCTTCATAGCTTTCCCAATTGATTTTTCCCCAAGAATTGCTAACAGTGTGGACTCTTTGGACATATACATTTGAGGTATTTGGAGAACCGCCTCAGGAAAGGCTTCCTTCCCCCCAGCCCATCTGTTTCTCCCCTTTCAGCACTGGAATCAGATATCTCCCTTAGCCACATTCAAGGACTAACAGAAATAACAGTCCAGACGACCACATGCTAGTCTCCTGATTTAAGGCAAATTCCACAAGGAGACACCACCTAGGTCAGGTGGACCCTAAGTAATAGTTTTACACAACTTAGCTTGGACCCTCCTTTCTTACAGCCTTACTAACTTTATAGACCCCTAACTTCTTACCTAACCACTCCTAGGAATATAGGGTGAGCACATAAATTCCCTTTTTGATATACTAACTGATATTAGCTCTCAGCTGACCTCCTCCCTTAACCACTTCATTTTCAGGTCATAAAAGAAAGCCTGACAACAGGTGGGCAGTGGTGGCAATGGTGGCGCACACCTTTAATCCCAGCACTCGGGAGGCAGAGGCAGGCAGATCTCTGTGAGTTTGAAGCCAGCCTGGTCTACAAAGCAAGTTCCAGGAAAGGCGCAAAAGGTACACAGAGAAACCCTGTCTCAAAAAACAAAAAATAAATAAAAAATAAAAAATAAAAGGAAAGCCTGACAATCACTGCCTGAGGAAACTCTTACCTGCCTTTATGACCTTACAGGAATTCAGGCCTGGTGACCTGACTGGAGGGAAGGATTGTGATTGTTTAGGTATATAACTGTAAAGCTAGAGATTGAATGGTGAATTAAAGCTAATGGACTATAGAGCTCGGTGTGCTGAGATTCTATTTCCCGAAAATAGTTCTCGCCATTCATAGTTTTCTCTCCTGGGCCCCTGGGAGAAGACTGGTCCTTCTAGTATTATACGAGATGCACTGACCCCCAACTCCCCACAGGACCACATCCTGTGAGGCCCAAGGTAGATGAACTCATCCCTCTCTGAGCCTGTCTGACATTCAGAAAGCAGGTAGCAACTGCCCTGTGAGTGTTGAGTGGGTGTTAATGAGCAACAGCAGGTAAAAAGGCTTGGTCAGGCCTGGCCATAGCCAGCACCCAGCAGCTCTTGGCCAGGCAGGAGCCAGGCCCCTGGCCTGGTGTCTGTCACACAAGGCCCTGGACAGTACTGGAAAGAACTAAAACCTGAGTGAGTAAATTCTTCTGTGTTTGTGTGCTGAGCTCCTGGCCCTGGTCCCCACAGTCAAGCATCTGGGAAGCAGTGCAGGCAGCTGAGAAGGGACGGGTAAGCAGACCCCTGGGGCACATGCCACGCCAAGCACCCAGAGCACAGGAAGCGGGCAGGGCCGGAGGTGCTGGGCCTGGGCCCTGCCCTGAGACACTCCTGTCCCTACCTGCTGGTCACCCTTATACTCCCCGAAGTGGAAGACTCGGGCTTTGAGCTGCAGCTCTGCTGCTGACTCCTCCTCCTTGGAGATTGATATCATCATGGTGGTGATCCACTGCTTCAGCAGGTTGACCTCCCTGTCCCTGCAGGGTCAGACAGTTCCCTCAGCACCCAGGGCTCCCACGAGGCATGACCTAGTAGGCATGTCCTGAGGTCATAGGCCTTGAAGAGTGGAGGTTCTGCCCACCCGGGTGGAACTCCAGGACAGTGCAGAAAGAGGTGTTACCCACCCTTTGCACCTGATGTCAGTGGAAAGGCCACTAGTCTCTTGCCTGTAACAGCATTAGCTTGTAGGATCTAGTGATGTTTACTAAATTGAAATTCCTTTCTATTCCTAATTTGTGAGCCATGGTGTTGTTTAACACACTGTTGGGATTGTCGTCATTTCTCCCTTAAATGTGTGTGTGTGTGTGTGTGTGTGTGTGTGTGTGTGTGTGTGTGTGTGTGTGT